ATTCTATCGGATGTCTTAGTGAAAGGCCGTTTGGGAAAGGGCTACACATGCAGCAAGCAGGGTTCTGCTTACACGGTGACATTTGTTTCCAAAGTGTATCAGAGGGGAAGCTAAGCTCTTCAGAGCATGTGTTCATTAAAGATGTGAAGTGGGGTGGGAAGCAATAAAAAAAAAAAGGCCAGTGAGTTCTCTTGTGAGGTAGTTTTTTGTTCTTATGAATTGAACACTCTGAAAAGTTTCAAAAAGAACCTAGGAGAATGCATTTGCTTTGATCAAACATGTAGAGTGTCCCCTCTCCAAATGCCCTTGAATTTAGAAATGTTGTTGAAAATCTGTGTGAAAGTACATAAAAATATATGTAAATAAGGCCTAATTAGTTATTTCAATTAATTATTGTCTGTCTACTTTGCAGCTCCATTCTTCCCCATAGTGTTGCTTTTCAGAATCCGCTTTTGGCACTCTTGAAAAAAAGTTTCTTAGCAGTCATTTTTAAGAAAGCACGCTTTCCCCCGTTGAAAACCTCACAATGATAAATTAAAATCCCGATTGTGCCTCTTCGTGGAAAATTGCTTCAGACACTTTCAGTCCATGACCCACAGTATGATAGTGAAGGAAATCTCGCTGCCAATCAACAGAGCAGGGCTTCCTTCTTGAGACAGATGCTATGTGCTGTGTGAAAGACAATGACTCTATATCAGGTCAGTAGCCTCTTGTCTTCTTCCCAACTACACTGTACTCCTTCAAAGGCAAGTGTGTTGGACTGGGGCTAAAAGGCTTTAATTCTTTCTCAGTTGAATAGGAGGCTTCCCAGTAGCAGTGGAGATGCTCTGGGTGTAGCTGGTGGTGGAGCTCTTGCAGAGTGTGGGCAGATCCTCAGTTCCATCTGCAGTGTGCGGAATAAACACTTATACACTGAGCTCAGGTACTTTTCCATAGCTGATGGCCAGAAATTGACTAAGAACTGAAATTTAGTGTTGGAGGTATGCAACAAATTATGGTTTTCACTGAGTAATCTGCACGTCTTCTGCACTGTCATTTAGAGTCTGGAGGGATCTTGGAGGTAGGTTTTAGAGAAACCAGGGGAGCAGCCCAGCCTTTACCTGTTAGAATCCCTGGTGAGGAACAGAAGGTGTACACGAGAAGTATAGATTTCTGGTTGCTATCCCGATTATACAGATTCATAATCGTCTTGAGGAGGGTCTTAATTTGCCACAAACATTGCTGGGAGATTTTGATGCTCATTGAACTTGACCATCCATCAGTCTCAGCTGTCCAGTTTATTTTATTCTGAGGAAGCAGGCCTAGAGAGTTGGTTGGGTCAGTTCACAGTGTGCGCTGGACAAGAGTGAGCCAGACTTCTGGCTCTGGATTAACACGTCTCTGTATTTCCCATGTGGGAGTCATCCTAGGCATGCAGACCTGTTCAAAGTGACTTATGGACTGACTGGGTACTGGTTCCACACAGAGCAGGAAGACACCCAAGGACCAGAGGTCCTCACAGTGTTGCCCATGTTTAAACTAAACCCTGAAGAGCATCGCTGTGTTCTCCCATCCTTCCTCCTCTCCTTTTATAAGCCCAGAAAACTGTGCACAGTCTGAACGTGTTTAGTGTGTCTCAGTGGTACATGTAGTTGAACACCCGCTTAAGATCAGTGTGCCTAGTGGAAACTTTCTCTTTTGCGACAGGATTTCTCTGTTGTAGTCCTGACTGCTCTGGAACTTGCTCTGTAAACTAAGCTGGCCTCAAACTCAGAGAGATCACTTGCCTCTACATCCCAAATGCTGGGATTAAAAGCGTGTGCCTCCACCACCCAGTGAAACATTACACATTGCTAGTTTATATGCTTTCTATACATATTTGTATTTTTAAATGTTGCTTATATATGTTATAGAACATTATAGTAAAGTCATTAAAATTACAGACTGGTAACTCCTTTAGTACTTATTAGTATTCAGGAGATGCCTACTGATATTAATTATATACCAAATTCAAGCAACTGAAGAGCCAAACTGACCTTGTTTTTCAGTGTTTTGGATGGTAGTTTGCACTACAGTGATGTTCCTGACTGAATGTCACGAGATCACAGTCACCTCTGACCTATTGGGAAGGACTGGGTTCTGTTGGGTTTCCTGCTCTAGCGACACTCCTAGAGTGTGGAGCCCATAAGTGAGATGGACTGACGTCATGCAGTAACCAGCTTTATTCAGAGCTGATGGCTAAGCAGAGTCACACAAGTAAAGAGTACAGTCACAGGGCAGGCTGTACATGGTGGCCCAGCAGACATGGCACGATCATGGTTTCCATAGAAGCATTTAAACAAATAACACTAGCCAGTTGTAATGGATAATCTGAAGTCAGCTCAGGCCTATCCACTACACCTGGGAACATGAAAACATTCTATGTTTTGAAGAAACTGAAGTTACAAGACTTGTTGTGTCTTGGTTTATTGCAGTTTCTCATAGCGTTCAAAATTCTCACGTGACTTCGTTCTTGGACAGTGCTCTGCCACGATTCTATCTCAGTGTTAATTCAGTTTGACTATCTACTAATTATAGAAACAGAGACATCCTCGGAGCTTGCATGTGTCAGGTCCCAGTTGGGTCTGTCCACTGATCACAGGTAAACACGTTTAATGTGCGGACTTTAGAATGGGCAACATATTTTAACAAGAATAGGAACGAACACAAGCTGTTTGAAGAGGCATGCAGCCAGGTTCAAAGAATTACTTTGGAATAACTATAGGAAGTGACAGTCTTTTATATGTATGTGTGTGTGCATGTGCCGGGGGTAGCTAGTTTATCATGTCTCAACACAAACATTTATTGGTTGTCTACTGTGTGTTAAACTCTGTGTTAAGTGCGGAGGATAAAAAATAAATCTGGGAAGTTTACTGTCTGCCTGACTGGAGAGGGTCATAAAAAGGCACCACGGTTCAAGGAGGCACGTGCTAAATGCCAAATGAGTCACACAGTCAAGCAGCATTCCAGCATCTACCACCCAGAGTGGTGACAGCATCTCTCCCGTCACACAGGAGATCCTGTGTCCTTATCTTCTGCACACTGTTTCTCTTTCCTCAGCTAGCCTCAAAAACAGGCTCATGATGATTTTGTTGCTACTCAGTAGTTAAAAAAGAATAATAATTTTAAGAACTATGGGAAGATCTAGTTATTAGAATGTACCACTAACATATGCATTTCATGATCTTTCAGTCCCCTCTGTTTTTAAAAAGAAAAGAATCTAATTCTCCCAGCAGAAGATGCACAATGAAATGGCATGGTTATTACTGCCATTTTATTTGTGATGGAAACTTGTTAGGTTTTGTAGTATTTTCATAGAGTTTATGTGTATCTTTGTAGGAAGACAGTTTGTATTAAATAATTGTATTAAATCTTTTGAGCTCCTAGTAATGGAATTGATTATAATACTGGTTGCCAAATTATTCATCGTCACCGTCACTGGAAGAGTAAATCAGTTCATCTTTACATCGTGAGCCTGTGTCAGCTCTCTTTAGTCTGTGTGTTCTGGCACCCGACCGTGAGGAATGCCGCATGGACGGGTTCTGAAGTGAAAGCCATGAGACAGTTCAGAATAGTGATGCTGTTTGCATAGCGTTCATCAGCCTTGCTGGGGCTTCCAGGATGTTTGTGACAGGACTTCCTCCTAAGGAAGCATGATCTCTTTGGGGCAGGGCCATGATTACTGCCAGGTCGCCTGACAGTCCCTGGACAGTGTTCACAGAATCATCAACTCCTGAGAGAGAAAAAGGAGTCACCTACCATCTAGTGGCCTTGATGGCATGCAAGATTTATTGAGGTCCCAATCGCTTACGGCACTGGGGAGAATCTGATGTGTTTGCTGTGGAGGGTGCAGTGAGGACTGTGTTTATCTGGGAAGGATGTGAAGAGTTCTTGGGCTGGAGTAAATAGGTTCTATATCCAAAGAGGAGGCAGTCAGATGCCAGAGTCTTTACACTGATTTTTTTTTTTCAAGCAAAAACATGCTGTGTCTCCTATTTAGGGATCATGTCACCACCAGACAAGCTTACAACCAATTCCAAACCCTACCTTTTATTTGCAGAACAATCTCACATAACACATTTAACATTGCAAAATTCTTCCTTTCTTCCGCTCTCAATCTCTGCCTTTCTTCCTTTTATTGGTTTTTGTTTTGGTTTAGTTTTGATTTTATTTTTGTGGGCAAGGTGTCATGTCACCCAGGCTAGCCTCGAACTTGATATATAGCCAAAATGACATTTCATTTCTGATCCTCTTCCCTTTGCCTTTGAAGTACCTCCAGATGCAAGTGCCACCATATCACATACAGCACCACAGTTTACGTGGTGCTGGGGATTGAGCCCAGTGCTTCATTTGCTAGGCAAGTGCTACTAACTGAACTAGAGTGATAGCTCTTGGTTTTGTTTCTCTGAGACAGGGGCTCACTAAGTTGCCCAGGCTGCTTTGAACTCTGGGACTTGCCATATAGCCTAGACTGGCCTTGAGCCCACAATCTTAGCCTCAAGTTCTGCGACTACAGGGGTGGACCACCATGTCTGGTTTCATTTCTTCATTAGTAAAATAGGGTCTCTTTCCTCAGAGATGTTGTGTAAGCCAAACAAACCTATATTAGTAGCTTCCAGACAATTATGTTGTATTACTCGTTTCTGAGAAGGAAAATAGGAGAATAAAGGTAGAGTTGTGGAGGAACTGGTCTCTGGTAGCTGTGTGCAGAAGAAATAGAATCCGAGGGGACCAGAGACAAGGGCTTAGTTAGGACGGTGTCTGTCTCTCAGGAGGTGGGGTCTAGACTTTTAGGCTGGGAAGGAGGAGGCCTTTGGGTCCCTGCATTCTCTGCAGCTTCTCTTCTACAGACTTCATTTAATGTGAGGGCTGTGGAGCCTTGTTCTGTGCTGTTCAAAGTTCAGCAGCAATCATAGTCTATCTCTTGCTCTGTGCTGTTCAAAGTTCAGCAGCAATCATCGTCTATCTTTTGCCTTGCACAGGATGCCAGCGATCTATCGGTCTTTCTAATGGCAAGGCCAAGGTGTGCAATTACAGCGGGTGGTACTACTGCGGCAGCTGCCACGTGGATGACAGCTTCCTCATCCCAGCACGAGTAGTTCACAACTGGGACACTTCAAAGTATAAGGTAGGTGCCAGCCTTGGGTGTGCCTGACAGTGGCGATTCAGGTGTTCATATATGTCAGGCAAATCCCTTTGAGGCAAACTTGAACAAAAACAAAAACAAAAAAAAAAACAGGGTCTCACTTTGTAGTTCAGCCTGACCCCAAATTAACAATCCCTCTGTCTCCAGCTTCCAAGAGTTGGGCTGACAGACACATCCCATCACGCCCAATTGTGCCATCAGATTTTATCTAATATCATACACATCTCACTATTTTAAAGCTTTTTTATTGTGGTTCTTATTAATTTGAAAATATATGTATATTTTTTGATCTATATGTCTATCAAGTATAAGTTTTGACCTATAGACCTTGGAAATTAACTATAGGTGCTAAGAGAATTCTATATGGTGGGAGGCCTCTCAGGATTTTTATTGGAAAATGGGGACATTGAGATTCTACATGAGCATACCTGTGATCTCTGGAGAAGGCATATGTGACCCAAAGTGTTGCTTGTGATGATATAGCGCTCTGATTCAAGCACGTTCAACCCTTGAGCTGGAATCCTGGAAGAAGCCCACAGAAGGAACAGTGCAGTTAGCCATCCTCAGATCTCTCAGGGGAACTCTTGTGTATTAGAGAATGGGAACAGATGAGAAATGCTGGAATATGCTAAGAGCTTTGCACAGTAATGACTTGCAGACAAGAGAGACATCCAAGGAGTGTGAATAGCACATTTGTTAGCTGTTAAAGTGCAAGTCAACAGGGGAAGAGGAAGGCTCAAGACATGTTGGGTCATCCCAGCATAAGAGTGTAGAGAGAAGAGAGGCAACAAAGAGCGTCAGGGGACCAGAACGAGCGAGCAGTGAGGTAGAAGGAGCCCAGGCTGGTGAAAAGCCGTGTGAAGAAAGTGTTACCCGATGAACTGTGACAGATGCTGATAGGTCAAATCAGATGAGCCCTGAGTGCTGACCATTGGCTCTAGTCATGTGGAGGTAATTAGTGACCCTAATGAGAGCACTCTGAATGGAGAGGCAGGAGCAGAGGTCTGAGTGGAGAGGGCGCAACATAGAACTGGAAGAAAGAAAGAAATGACAAGAATAGGCGAAGGCTCACTCAAAGGGAAGAGACAGGTAGGGGATAGCAAAGGGAAGCGGGGTCAAGTTAGGTTTGACTTTTGTTTTCATGGAAAAAAGATAACAGCATGGCTTTTTTATGCTGCTGTGAACTCCCCAGGAGAGAGGGAAAGGCTGGAATAATGAAGGTGAGAGAGTAAGAATGGTGTCCTGTCGGCAGCAGAGGACTTGGCCAGGGTTGAACTGTGGAGTGAGAGAAGAGGAGTCTGAGAGGTATGGGAAGCTCGTGGGAGCCCTTTTTGGTTTCAATATCTGTGATCTTACAGGGGTTAAGTTTCCATGTGGGTTACTCTGGAAACTCCCTCCTGCTAATAGGGAAAAGTGGATGATTAGAAAATAATTCTGTCAACTCACCCGCAGGCTTCTCTGTAGCCACATAGTCCTCACTGCCCTCCCCTTACAGAAGCGTTGTTCCTCTGCCCCTGTTGTCTCCTCCACTCTTCCTTTCCCCATCATGCTTTTCTGTCCAAAGCATACCTCAGCCCCTTCTTGTGTGTTTGCTTAGTGGGAGGCATATTCCTTGAACTTCCCGAGGCTAAGTTTTCTAATATATAAGATGAGCCCAGCCTGCCTTGGTTCAGATCTTGGCTTTATTGCTTGCTGATGTGTGACCTGGGTGAGTTACTTAGACTCTGGGTGTTTTAGTTTTCTTGTTTATAAGATGAGGACAATATTACCTCAAAAGAGTTACCCACTGGCTGAATGGCTAAAATACGTAAAGCAAGTAGCATGGTGCGAGCACTCCGTGCGTGCCAAATAAGCACCATGCTTTTGGTAACTCACACATTCATAGTTGACAGTTGTATGGAGGAGGTTAGGAAAGAAAGTTGGTCGTTTGAACTCTCAGGGATTCTGTCCTCTGGTTTGAGGGCTGGATAAATGGCTCAGTGGTTAAGAGCATACACTATTCTTGTAGAGGACCTGAGTTCAGTTCCCAGCACCCAAGTCAGACAACTTACAACTCCCTGTAACTCTAGCTCCAGGGATGTGGCACCCTTTTCTGGACTCCTCAGGCACCACACTCACATGTGCACGTTTTTTTATTGTTTTATTGAGCTGTACATTTTTCTCCGCTCCCCTCCCTTCCTCCCCTGTCCCATTCTACCCTCTCCCATGACCACCATGCTCCCAATTTACTCAGGAGATCTTGCCTTTTTCTTCTTCCCAGGGAGATCCATGTATGCCTGTCTCTCTTAGGGTCCTCCTTGTTTCCTGGCTTCTCTGGGGCTGTGGACTGTGTAGGCTGGTTATACTTTGCTTTATGTCTAATATCCACTTATGAGTGAGTACATATTATATTTTGTCTTTCTGGGTCTGAGTTTCCTCACTCAATATGGTTTTTTTTCTAGACCCATTTATTTGTCTGCAAATTTCAAGAAGTCATATTTTAGCGCTGAGTACTGCTCCATTGTATAAATGTAGCACATTTTATTTGTCCATTCTTTAGTTCAGGGCATCTAGGTTTTTTTCCAGGTTCTGGCTGATACAAACAATACTGCTATGAACATGGTTGAACACATGTCCTTGTGGTACGATTGAACATCCTTTGGGTATTTACCCAAAAATGGTATTGCTGGATCTTGAGGAAGGTTGTTTCCTAATTTTCTGAGAAGTCGCCACACTGACATCCAAAGGGGCTGGACCAGCTTACATTCCCACCAGCAATGCAGGAGTGTTCCCTTTACCCCACATCCTCTCCAGCATAAGTTGTCATCAGTGTTTTTGATCTTGGCCATTCTTACAGGTGTAAGATGGAATCTCAGAGTTGTTTTGATTTGCAGTTCTCTGATGGCTAAGGATGTTGAGCATTTCCTAAGTGTCTCTCAGCCATTTTAGATTCATCTGTTGAGAGTTCTCTGTTTAGGTCTGTACCCCATTTTTTATTGGATTATTTGTTCTTTTGATGACGAATTTCTTGAGTTCTTTGGATTTTTTGGAGATCAGTCCTCTGTCTGATGTGGGTTGGTAAAGATCTTTTCCCATTGAGTAGGCTGCCATTTTATCTTGTTGACCATGTCCTTGACTTTGCAGAAACTTCATTCTTACATACACACACAAATACATAATTAAATTTTTAAGTTTCAAAAGAAAAGCACCAGAAATGGTATGATAAGGGCTAGAGAAATGGCTTAGCCTTTAAAGACCAGGCTCTCAACTGGAAATATAGGAAATGGTGTGATAAGTACTTACTGGATGCGAGTTATTGTTCTCATCACACCACATTTATGGAATTGATTGCTTGTTGCATGTTTTCTCTGTAACAGAGGGCTCAGGAGATGTGGCTTAGCACAGCCCATGGCACACAGCTGGGAAGCAGGAGGGGCTGCTGAGTGAAAGTAAAGCCTATCCCTTAGGCGCCTCAAACTCAACACACCAAGTGTGTGCTCCCTACAGTTACAGATGCAGATATTCATAGTCATGTGGATAGTCAACAAGATAAAACGCAGCCTACTGAATGGGAAAAGATCTCCACTGCCAGACATAGCCACCTATGATTAGCCACCATCCTGATTATTCCCTCTACTGCATGTGTCCTGGCCACACAAGAACCAAGACTTAATTGTAGCATGAGGTCACGCTCTCAGCCCCACTACACTCATGGCCTCAGCAGCCATCACACGGCAGGAGTTGGCAGCCTTCTAACAGCCTCTTGCCTTCGCTGCTTACTTCCCTGGGTCCCATTGTTACCTCAGATGAATTTCTTACTCAGTCTTTAGCTTAGTTTTTTTATTTTTTTATCTTACAATAGAGATAATAATAGCACTTAGGCAATAAGGCTGCTGTTTTCTTAAATTAGTCACATAAGCCCCTAGCACAGTGTCAATGCAATGTAAGTGCTCAGTTAGGGCCAGACTTCCCCGTGTTGTCTGCAGAGTAGATACAGTTGGTTCCCATTGTGATCTCTAGCCCCAGACTTCCCCGTGTTGTCTGCAGAGTAGGTACAGTTGGTTCCCCTGTGAGTTCTAGTCCCGGACTTGACCATGTTGTCTGCAGAGTAGGTACAGTTGGTTCCCCTGTGAGCTCTAACCCCTGTCCACCTTTCTGGCTTCTTCATCCACATCCATCCCCACTTGTCTCTTCATTAAAATCATTTCTACCTTTTTGATCCCTGTCCTGCCAGTCTTTTTCACATCTCTTGACTCCTCTTGCTCTCACCCAGACATAGCAAATCCTAAAATCCGATTTGGATCTTATTTCTCCCCTAATTCCTTCCTTCCCTTCCTAGACAGTTATCATGAACTCCTTGTGATCTTGTACTTGACACTCCCAATATAGACTATAAATATTTGTGTGTGTATGAGATAAAAACATATTTAGGGAGGCAGACTGGTTGAATTCACTTTAGATTACTATGCTTGGAGTAGAACTTTGACATCTAACAGCAAGTGAGTGAGCGACATAGCCCCAGCCCCATGGTCTGCCGAGAGCTGGGGCCGGTGACACCTGCCAGCAGAGCACACATCAGTCAGTGGAGCAAAAGCAAACAGGAGGCGCGGGCAGCAAGTGGCCAAGGCAGGCGTGACTGTTCACAGAGAGTTTTGAAGACTTCAGAAACCACCATTCTAGCTGGTGCTGAAGCCTCGGATCTCTCTGTAAGATGGGCCATGTTGTGGTGGTCTGCGCTGAGGTCATTGAAGATGTTTATTAGGGACACTCACTTCATTCATGCTGCACGTGGGGAGTCAGACCTCTGCTTCCCACATTTTCAGTGGACCAGGGACAGCTTTAATGTAGGAACACAGCCAGCTGATGTTATCTGCATCATCTGTCACTGGCATTGAGGAACTATATTCCATTTAGTCCAGCATCTGTCTGTCTTTGCTCAGATACCAGGAATTAACTTAATGCTTCTAATTGTGAGAATCAATTTAGACCTATCAGTTTCTCAA